AGCTGCTTGCAAAAAGAAGAGGTGAAGGCCTTGATGGTTGCTACCCGTACTTTCTATTGGATGTTGGAACCTAGAGCTGGAGTGGCTGAAATGCCACGGGTGGGCGACCGGCAGCGTGATGCAAGCTGGAAGATTTTTTCCAGAGCTGTGGTTGACGGCATTGTTTCGGCAATGCGAAGTGCAGTGCGGATTAGCTTCTACATTTGTGACTACTCCACTAAACCTAATGTGACATCGGGCCGCGTTTTGCAGTACATGCACAAAGGAATGCAACGGTTGGAGGCAGAACTGCAGGAGAAAGAGTGCGTGCAGAAAGTGTTGGAGCTCGAGGCTGCTGGTTTCTTGGATGATCCTGGCCGATTGCCTTCCGGTGTGCAAACTTTGGAAGGTAAGAATTTGTCTGAGGCCGAAAAAAGGCAAGAGAAGGTGAGACGCATTCTGATCCGCTTGTGGAGCGCTGCAAACTATTCTTATTTGAAAGGCGCTTCGTTGCAGCTAGTGCATCTACTAACGCGCAGAGAAGCTTTCAGAACTCACAAGTATTGGCAGGTTCTGACGAAAAGATTAATTTGGGCAGGACTGTTTTCATGTTGGCTGGCTTTGCCGGTTGCCCAAAACAGGCGTTCAAAAAATAGGTGTGATAAACTATTCAAAGTGCTGGTGATTGTCAAGTGTTTGGTGGCTTATGGATCTTGTGTCAATATTTCTGACCCTGTGTCTCAAAGGACATGAAGCTTTGCGAAGAGAAGAAACCAAAACCATGGAAGTAGGAGAGACAGAGGAAGACGTGGCCCTAACCCTGATCGAAGTGGAGCAAGCGGATGGGAAGTATAGTGTCCAAGTGAGCAACGATGCATTTGTCGACGATTGGTACCACCGTGGCCCAGACCTTGCTTGGATGAGCCATTATCTCTACGCGATGTATGTCAGGGTTGTGCCGAAATCTGATGGCCTGCGCTTTCAATGGAGCTTTGCCTTTGTGCACCATTATAAGAAATATGCTGGCTTCGTACAGGTGCTCGAACCATCTCCGCGAGTTCCTTACATGGTTGGCTTCACCATGCCCACGAGAAGCGCGGATCCTGCCACGAATGCTTTGTATCATCTGTGCTTGATGAAGCCGAGCAGAGTGTGCAAAGGGTGTTGCGAAGATGTGGCTTGGCTAGCAGGTCATGTGTTGTCATCTGTGGCTGGGTCACAGCAAGGCATACTCTTTGGATACACAAAGCCTGCCGGGCAAGCTCAGCCTTCCAGGGGCGAGCGACGTTTCACAGAAGCGTGGGAAGCTTGGGAGGCATTGCAACTGACCCGAGCAGAGCGTGCTTGGGCAAAGTTGAAACTGGAGCGTCGTGTGGGCGTTCTGGATGATGTGGCGCCATTCCGAGAATGGTATGTGCCTGGTTGCAACAGAAAGACCATTGTGCAGTCATGGCTTTTGCCTTGGTTGCGAGGCGGTTTTCGGCATTGCTATAAAGGTCCCTGGGGACAAAAGAGGAGGACGCGATCCGACATCAATCCGATATACAGCAAGGCGCAATTTGTCAAGCTGCATCCCACAAGTGTGGGGGTACTGCCAGCATTGCCACATGTGGTCGCAGTTTGCATTCTTCGTTTTGCTGGGAATGTGAAAGGTGAAGGGAATGAAGATGTGGTTATAGCAGACACACTTGATGCCCAGGACAAGGCTGCGTCAAGTTGCAGAACAGATGCCCAGAAGACGGTGGTCAGAACAGGCACCGGGGTTCATGTGAACCAATTGTTTCCCGAAGAGTTTGGTGCCAGCATCACAGCAGAGGTGTCATGGAATATGGATTTGCTTGCTGAAGCTCGCAAAAGACCACGCCCAAATGCAGTCGCTGTCAGCAACGAAGACGAAGATGATGATGCGGGTGGAGCTGTCGTGGGAAAACTGTTGGCCACTGAAGGAGAAACCCCGGGCGGAGAAGCAGGAGATGATTATGATGTTGTAGTGGAGCAGCCATATTCCGAGGAAAAAGGCTTACAGTATAAACCGCACCTGGAAATACAAGATTGCGATGTCCTTGAGATTGCTCACAGACTAGATGGCTGGAGAGACGGGCGAGGCGCGGCGTCAAACGTTGTATAGGAGGTCGCGGGGCTAGCGGCTAGTGCGTTGCATTCAGTTTGTGTTGTGTGCATTCAGGTTGTTGAGAATTATTGTCGTTGGATGTGTTTGTCAGGTCAAAAAGACAATGTCTTGAAGTTTTTCCAAAACTTTCGCGATTTTTACGCTGAAGAGTTAAAGGCAGCATGCCCTTGCGAGATGAGGATGCAAAAACAGTTCTGTGGTACAGATGGCATGAGTTTGGCAGACTGGATTTCACAGCGAAATCAAATGCTCCGAGCACAGAAAGAGTTGAAGAATAACCGTGAGAAGACAGGCCCAGGCGGTGGAGAATCTGAATCGGAAGATGATATACAGAGTCGTGTGATTACCAGTGAAACAGATGTGCCGAAAATTCATGTAGTATTCACTTTCGAAAATGCCATTGAATCGCCAGCTGAGATGGCACGCCGGTTGGCGTGTCAAAGTGGGGCAGCTTGGGACAGACAGCAATATGAAATGATCATTTGTTGCGTGTGGCCTTTGCACCGGGTCTGGGAATATGCTCTCACAGAGCGTCGTCTGAAGGAGTGGAATTCTGTGGAAGGCCGCTTACAACTCATCCAGGATGCGCAGGTTCCACCTGTCCGTGTATTCGCACATGGGGCTGGCGGGTCAGGGAAAACTTATTGCTTGACTAAAGTTGTCATGGCCGTTTTTCAGTGGTTTATGCCAGGGCAATGTCGTAAGCAAGCTTCCACCAACAGTGCTGCTCGCCTGATCGCAGGCGACACCATGCATGCTTGTGCAGGGTTACTGAAAAGTGCAAAGTTTACAGCAGAGGAACCGTCCCGGAAGGTTCAGAACAAGTTGAAAACGACTTGGGGGACTGCTGTCTTTGTTTACAATGATGAGGTGGGTGCTGCCGCCCCTGGACTGTATGGAACTTTGTCGTCTCGTGCATACTGGGGAAAACGGGCTGCGGGGCAAATTGAAGATGTGGGGCCGAAACAAGCACCTTTTGGAAATCCTTTGCTACATGTTGACGCAGGTGACTTTGCCCAGCTCCGGCCAGTGCCGAAAGGAAGCCCTAGCCTCATGGAAGCATTTCTAATGTCCCGCAAAGAATATGCGAATGAAGGCCGCGTGCGGCCATTGACCGACATGGAGATGTTAGGCCTGAAAACTTTTGATTTGGTTGCGGAGACCTGCGTAGAGTTTAAAGGGACCTACCGATTCAAGGAAAACGATCCCTTGATCCGTCTGCTGCAGATTATGCGCACTGTCGGCGGCGCAGAAGTACCAGAGACATTGAGGCAACAAATCTTGAGTCGTATTCAATTGGGTGGCAAAGATCCACGAGCAAAGCTATTCTATAGATTCCCTAAATCGGTGCTTGGATCGGATGTTTTTTCAGACTAACTTTTGCAACGGGATGCACAGTGCGGTGAACTGGGAGCAGGTTTCGCGGATGCAGCAAGTGTGGGCTGCCCGCAACGCCCGTGCTAGTCGGGGTCCGCAAGCTTTGCAAAATAGCCGTGCAGGAGAACCACAGTATTATTGGGAAACCTTTTGCCCGTATTTGAGTCGCGCGCATTGGAGAATGGCGCCGGTGTTCGAAAAATGTCTGGGAAGGCTATCGGCATCTCGTGGCCAACTTCTGTTCTTATCACAACGTGTTGACAGAGCACAAGCACAGCAACATGCTCATGACAAGGAGCCTTGGCTTTTTGTTGCATGCAATCTATTGTTTTCTGTTTCTAACTTTTTTTTTGGTTGGGCGGTTGCGCCGGACGATCTGCAGGCTTTGCTACGCAGCGCTCTACGGCATGTGAACATGACTGATACAGGGAAGCTAGCAGGGCTTTGCCCTTTATATCTTGGAATGCCAGTGAAAGTAACTCACAAACTCTGTCCGCCAGAAGTGGTTCAGGAGGCAACAGGAGAAATATTACAGATTGGCTTCCACGAAGAAGAACGGTATGGTTTACCTCGTCAGTTGCACAGGCCTGGAGGTATGCCACACAAAGGGCATCCATGTTGGAGTAGGGGTTGGGTAAAGCTCGACATGGTTCCACGTTGGGTCGAGATTCGGCTTCATGGCTGCACTGCTGATTTTACGGGTACTGGCCGACCAGGCGTGTACTTGGTGAAGCCTACCAATGCTGACTGGGATTTGCAATACCAAGCAACTGCCATAGTCAACCATCCCAATGAAGTGCCGAAGCGCAAGAAAGTCCCTAGAATCAAGGTTGGCCTTCGAAGTTCTCAGCTACCCATAGCTCCAGCTGGGGTAGGAACCTTTAACAACATGCAAGGTAAAACGGCCAAAGATGAGAAATCAGTGCCAATGGGCCATACTATTGACCTGAAACTGCTGGATGGCAATGATGACAAGTGGTTGCACTACTACATGATTCTTGGAAGGGCCACGTCCCTCGCAACAACCTTGCTGTTAAATTTTCCGGAGGATGCAAATGGAGAACCAGATTGGACCATTTTTGAAAATGGCCCTCCCGAGTATTTGATCCATGTCTTTGCTGAATTGGAGAAACGATACGAAAAGACCCAAAAGCTTGTGACGCTGCGCCAAGCAGATCTGAAAATCTTTCCTTCTTTCGCTTGCCTGCCAGCTCGGCATAAAGGTCTGGGAAACGAATATGTGTACAACACTGCTGAGTGGGATGCTGCCGTGGCGCAGCGGTCGCAGAAGAGAAAACCGGACAGCAGCCACCGGAACTTAGCGGAACGTTTAGAGAGACGGGCAGAGGAGCCGCCGAGAAGAAAACGGAAATAGAGGTGGCAAGTCTTGACTGGAGAACCGAACGTATTCTGCTCAGCTGTGTGTCTTGCTGTTGAGCCTGAGCTTGGCTATGGAACGATGCTGAAAGATGCCGTAGAGCTACGGCGTCCTGAACTACATGTTTGCAATACATTCTGACTAAGGCCCAAAGCTGGCCTGAAAAAAAAGGCGTGCCGCCATGAAAAATGAAAACAGACTATTTGCTTGCCTGCAGGCAACTAGCAGCTTTCAATGAACTGTGGAGAAAGCAAAGCAAAACATAGCCGGTGCCATTGCCAGTTTCATGTCGTTGCGATGGTTGGGTCTGAAGGAAGAATCACAGTTTGCCTTTGTTGTTTGTCGAGGCTTTGAACATTGTTGATCATTCGAACTCTATCAGGATACTTGCGCATTCGAATTTTAGGTCGACATGTTGAGGCAAAGCGACAGCTTGGCAGAGGGAGGGAGGGAGGATGCCAAGAAAGACCTTAGCGTTGGTGAGTTTGACAAACAAGTTGATCACAATATGTGATTTCGACAGATTTCAGAGCATCGTGACTAATCATTGCGTGGAAATCAGACCATGCACTTAGATGTTCACATCAGTGTTCGTGCAGAGCACACTTGGCTCAGAATCGTGGCAATTTCATGATGTGGCTGACACACAGGAGTCGTTTTTAATTGCTTTGGAAGGGATCAATCTGTCCACAGGTCCAGGTGCACATGGGGATCAATGCACTGAGTGCTCCGCAGCAACTTTCGTTGCGTCCAAATCACGTCCGAATCGTTCTGACCACAAATGAGAGGACCGGTGGGGGCACACGGCAAGATGAATATGGCTTTCTGCAGGTTTGTTTCCTGGCTGGTCTTTCCTGTGCAATGGACCCTGGGATCTTGAACTAGGTTTCTGATCGCTAAGCCAATATTATCAATAGTATATCCGGGTGGTTCGTAGCCATTTGGTTCGCAAACTCCAGGAAGCGTGCCTGCCATGCTGAGACGGTATTTCAAACGTAGCACAGCCTTGCGAAATCTAAGGCTGCTAAGACGCTGCGCCAAATTTGCATGGCAAGTCCAACAATCTGAACTCAGCAGGGGAGCCAAAGTTGCTCAATGGCGGTTGGTTGCTCGGGGGCGTGGTAAGCCGGCCATAAAACCAGCGGAGGCCTACTGCTTAAAAAACGGCAGAATACATTTTGAAAGTTGGCTGAAGGCCAGAAAATTGCACAAATTCTTGACACCTGGTTTGGAAAGGAACGGCTACTTCCATTTTCTGAGCAAGAAGAAACCTGCTCCGGCGCACTGGCTGCGTGCATATCATGGAACGTGGTTCTATTCATTGGCCGCTATTGTGCGCATTGGCAGATTGCTGGAATCTCACAGCATTGACCTGGGGCACGAGTTTTGGCAACCTGGTGTTTACGTAAGCCCTCGCTGGGACACAGCGCGTTGGTATGCGAGAGGGCACAAACTATTCCCATTTGAGTGCGCATATCACCGCGTCATACTGGAGGTGAGGGTGAACTTTGAAAATGTGTTGCGTAATCGCTCAAGAGGTGGTGGTCAATGGGTGTTTCATTCAAAAGATGTCCACATCCATTCTGTCTGGGTGGAAGCCAATACAACCATCGAAAAAGGAGAAGAACGCTGTGACGAGTGGCGCCCTGAACTGGAGGTCAACCACCTGGCAATCAGGTGTTAATTTTTGGAGGTGATATGCATTGCATTAAAATCGGATGGATCGACTTCTGGCCAGCTTCCTTCTGCAAGTTCCTGGCTGTGACTGCGAACAAAAAATTGCGTTGTTTGCATGCCTCTATAGCCTCCAACCGAGAAGTGCTCATTGGCAGTTTCGAGAAACCCGGGTGAATACTTCGCTGTCTAGGCTTCGTCTGAGTAAAATTCCGACTCGTAGTTCTTGCTGAATGTTGCTTTCAGTCTAGCTTGTATCTTCTCCACCACAGTGTGGTGCATGCCGCATTTGCAGGACGGGAGCTGTATACCACGCGATGGTGCTGCTGCGACCAGAGGAGCAAGGGTGTCAGAATGATGTCAGAAATGCGTAGGCAAAGCGGCACCTGTTTTGGCAGAGGGAGGGAGGGAGGATGCCAAAAAAGATTTCCGCATGATAAGAGTTTGACAGTGAAAGCATGCACATTGCTATGTGAATGTGCATGACCATCCAGTTTTTCACGGTCAGAACCGCGTAGGCAAAGCGGCTATAGGAGTGTGACAATGAAAACATGCAGGTTGCATTATGGATATGCATGACCACCCAGTTTTGCAGGAGTGTCGCACGTTCAAAGCTTCATTGCACACAGCATGTACGGCCACTGTTATCCGGGAGTCTGTTGAGGTTCAAGTACGCTGTGCGGGTGGAGTACCAACTTTCAACTCGGTGTGGCCCTGCAGCTGCGGCACAATGCCAAAACTTCCCATGGAAGATGAGTCACTGCGCCTCAAGCCCTTCGTGCGACTTTGGTGCAATGCTGAAGCAGCAGAATCCAGATGGGAGCAAGTCCAGCGCATGGTGGATGCCCTCGAACTGGCATGTCGGACGGTGGTTACGCAGATGCATTGGGTTTCCTTTGCAGTTCTATGCTCCATGTTGACGCAGGTTCGATTGGAGGTGCCAGGGGTCGAATCCCCATATCGTGCTGACCAATGGATCACATCATCACCTTACCCTCCGACAGTGCTCACCTATACCAGATCCATGACTGCAGCCAAGGCCATGGCCTGGATCCAAGACCTAGACGCCGTTGTTATATTGCTGCAAGATTGGGCATTTACTGCCTCAGACCTGTTGGATGAAGAGATGCGATTCTTTCTACGCTCTGTGAAAGCAGCACTTGCTGATTTCACATTGCTAGTCAGAGCAGGAAGTCTTTCCTCAGCGAGACGTCCATTTGTGCCGCTCCACGAACTGGTTGATGTATGAGGGCTACCGCCGATTCCAGTTAGCACATCCACCATTTAGGTTGAGTGTAACATCTCAACCGGTCTTTTTGATTTCATCCACGAGTGGATGGCCCCGCCTGGCCGTATGGAGCAGTCTGCACCGCAGTGGTCCAAACAGGATGATAACTGCAAAGGGTATGGGAACACATGGGGAACTGTCTTGTCCTCCGAGCCACATCTTGTCTGTGCACTCATTGGACATGGGTGCGTTGCCTCTGGACCGCATGTCATGAGTGATCATTGGCTTGCCACGACATGATGTTTTTGCTTACTTTGCTTTGCCTCATTTGAACGCACAGGTTTTGATTCGATTGATATATCATTCATGGAGCCGCGAAAAAAATGATGCAGCGCCAAAAGACCAACAAAGGGGAGGAAGGTGCACAAGAACTGGTTGAACTTTCTTGAGACATCATGAGCACTGATGATGTCAGGGGCCACAATTCACCACAGCTATGTCTACATTCTTCTAGTCGCTATTTCTGGTACGGGGGAGTCCCCATGTCATTGCTGAGTTGGCGGTTTCTGGCATTTTTCATTTAGATTTGCTCGTAGGAGCGGCTTGCACCATGCCAAGGACTTCTGTCGAGTTGTTTGAATGCATGTGTTGAAGATATTGTGGAAGGCGCTCATAGAAATTGTCGGGGATGGAATGCGCTCTTGCATCTATGCAAGCCCAATGGGAGGGAGGGAGGGTCTCTAAAAGAAAACATATATATTCTTGCCTAATATGGTTTCACCCTTTTAATTTATAACAGTAGAAGTGTTCCTGCAGACCACGTGGAATTGTTTGAAGATGGCTTTGAACATGTTGTTGCTGCTGAGGACGTGATGCTCACATGCAGCGGCACTCAAGCAGTGGTTCATGTTCCGCATTCAAGACGTGGCATGCTTGGGTTTGATCCCATTTACGGAATAAAAAATGCGAACCCGAGGATGAACCTGAAGCGAAACATTTCCATAAAACATAGCCATGCACGTGGAAATAAATAGTTACATATGTATATATAACATGTTTTTTATGTCTCTATATATATATAGATATATAAATATGAATTTATATTCTATATAGAACTAAGCAGTATTAATTCTGTTTTATTTGTAGATATGTTTCAGTGTTGTTTGTCTTTGTGGCTGTTTCCGCCGGTCTTTGAAATGAGACCAAAAACCACCAGTGTTCACATCACTGTTCGTGCAGAGCACAGTTAGCCCAGAATCGTTGCAATTTCGTCATATGGCTGACACGCACCAATCGTTTTCAGTTGCTTTGGAGGTTGGCATGGCTCCATTCGCCATATGCATGAAATGATCAACCAATGGATGTTTGGAAGGGATCAATCTATCCACGGATGCACATGAGGACCAATGCAATGATTGATCCACAGCAACTGGAAAGACGTCCAAATTGCGTCGTAGGCTTGAGCTCACAGTGCTGTTCCCGACATGCAGGAAAAAATGGTTTGCTCTGTGCCGTTTTGCTTTTGGGTTCTTTGGCCCACCTTGTTTTTTGCTTTCGTGTTTTTGGACATTTGGGTGTTTCTTCCCTATTTGAATGGCCACCGGCGTCGCTCTATTTCTTGGTTCATGAAATTGTTGCTCCTTCCATTGCTAACCAAGCAACTCTTGTGATTGCATGCTGGTTGATGCAAAGTGATGCAAAGTGTACCTAGCAATCCTTCCATTTGATTTGCTCGTTTTGCTCGTTTTGCAAAGGATCTAAGAACTTATCTTTTCATTCCGAAACGAAAGTGGAATCACTTCACTGGAATGTTGCCATGTTGCCATGTTGCCGGTACGTCGTTGCAACCGTTGCTTTCCCATAGGAACCAAACATCAGGTAGGTTCTAATGGATATGTAGAACTGTAGAAAAACTGTAGAACTTGTTACTATAAACAGTAGAACTGTGTAGAACTGTATGGATTGCTTGCCATATTGTAGAACTTGTTACAGTTGCCGTTTGTTCGTGCCGTGAGGAAGACCCGCTGGGCCTGTCCTTCGCAGGCTTCCTGGAGCCCGACTGCGTCTCTTGGCCTTTTTTTAAATGTAGACATTTTTTTAGGAAAAAAAAATTGTGAATTTACGAAAAAAATGTCGGAAAATTCCGAAAGCAAGAAATTTCGGTGAAATCTTTGGAAATCTTTCTTTTCAAATAGAACTCGTTTTGGACTCGAAAGAAGAGATGAAGAGAGATAGAATATCAGAAAGACACGAGACTGAAGCACTAGGGCCTCGAGGCCAACAAACATCATGTCTTGAATCATGTCACTATATAGACTATATATGTCACTATATATCATTATAGGGCACAATTCATGTCACTCATGTGCCACTGGACTCCGAGAATCTCGAAATATCTCGAAATATCTCGAATCAAACTGAGTCTTCGAGTTCGAGTGTTCGCTAAGCCTGTTCACAACAGAGACGCAATGATGGATGTGATACAGGATGTTGTTTCGATTTGTTTCGATTTCTTTCGTCTATTTTCATTTCTGCAGTATTATGCGGTCAGACATGTTAGGCAGTTTGACATGGACAGCTGACGTCCCTTTGAGATCAGGAGAGTTTCCACGTTGAACCACACGTTGAACTCTTGAGGTCCTCGAGTGCGTCAGCTTCCGTGCCTGTGCGATCAGCCGATTTGAGTGCGCAGCAAAGAGTGAGTTTACAGAATTCAAAAGCGGCAAAGGATTGTAAAAGTTCTGAATCTTTTCTCAAAAGGAAACTGGAATTTTTGAAGACTCGGATTTTTTTTTCCCATTGTGTTCCATCGTTTCCCACTTGTGGTGTTCGCATGTTTACTGTACTTACCGTTGGTTCACTGCCCTTTGCCGCTTGATTTTTTTTGAGGCTGGGTCCAATGAGCGCTGCGCTCTCCAAGTGCCCTTGGCAGTTAAGGTGTGGTTTGCCATTTGGATGTACCGCATGCAAAGCACATGCGGTATATTCCATTCCCATCCATTCGCATGAGTTTCTAATCTATACACTTGTAGTACACTTGTATGATGTATCCATACAAATGTGTGTGTGTGTGTGTTTGGTACATCAACTGCATACGTTGCATCACAACTGGCAACAATTCCCGCATTACAATTCACACACGCACAATTCACATCAGTTCGCATTATCATCTTATATCATCTTTATTTTAATTTACTTGCATCATTAGTTTCGGATTTGTGAGGGCATTGAATCTCTGGGAGAACAGAATCTGCGATGCTGGCGTTGAGTTCCTGGCTACGGCGTCGGGCGCTTGGGAGAGACGCATCTTACATTTCAATGGTCTGAAAATAAGGCACCCCCAGAATCCAATGGTGAATCATCATTATCGTCATGATCCCTATTAAAATGGCCATGTACCATATTTTCAGACACACCCAAATGCGTTTTTCAAGTTTTTCAATGCATTTTCTATCATTTTCTCTTGTGAATTTCAGTGTCTGGTGTGCCATGCGGCGCCCAAGACAATCTTTTTACCACGACTTGGCTGGACACTCTTGACGAATGGGTCGTTTGTGTTATGTTTGTCTGAATTGGTTTGGACGAGTGTGTTGAGACATGCCCAGACTATGTTTGGAGACTGATGGAAAATATGGAAAATATGCTTGAGACTCTTCCATTCTGAGCGCTTACCGCCGCTTAAAGGGCCAATCTTTCATGATCTTTCCGGAGAATGGCTTGAGAACAGAATGGCAGGCTTGATGAGTACCGCGGCCTGGAATTTCTTGGCCTAGGCCAGAGACGAGAAGACGAGAAGACGAGAAGACGAAGAGATCAGCAAAACAGAAACGAAAACGGAAGAAACAAACGCAGAGATGCCTCTCATTAGATGCCAATCATGCCTAGATGCCTCAATGAGCAGATAAGGGAAGATGGAGCTGACTTAGTCCTGAGATCATTCCTGAGCATGGCACATAGAGGTTCTAAGGTTCATGGCTGGAGAGTAGGATGAGAAGTTGCCATTTGAGTGCTGCAAACATGAACACTTCTCTCAGAAGTCCACACAAGACTTTGTACTCCTTGCAGTCCTAGCACTTGTAGTATACTTGTAGTACTTGTAGTGCTTTCAATTCCGCTTCAAATGTCGAGATGTCGAGGCCGAAATCGCATCACAGATCATGGACTTCAAACTCTTTGTCGACCGTATCGGCCTGTGCAGCTTGAAGAGGCCACTACTTGGACTTGGACCACACCTAGGGCCTAGTGACCTGATGTGTTGAGACGTGTTGAGTACAGAAAGGAATTTGCAGAGAATTCCAACGGTCCGCATTGCACCAAAAACCGCGGTACACACAGTGCATCCTGTGCACACAGCCTATATAGTGCACACCCAGAAGTGCTTAGCATACTTAGAATATACTTAGCATACTTAGCATTCATGGATAAAAGAAAAAGGTTTCTCACAGGCACAGCCCATCTCACAAGGGCTCATTCTGATTTGGATGGCCTTGGGACATGGCTTTTCAACTGTTTTGAATTCTAGGAAATTCAAAGAACTTGTGAAATTCGAAGATCTATGTGTGAAATGAGTTTGGTGCAGCTCTTCGTGTATTTGGTGTATCTATGGTGTATCTATGTTGATGTTGTGTAGTCGGCTTTCAAGAGCAGCACAATCGCACAAATAGTATATCTACAGTATATCCATATTGCGGAACATGTCTAAGACCTTTTCCAAACAGGGCTTCTGTTTTGGATCATTTTCTTGTCGCACGCTGCTTTGTACTTTGCCTCCTTTATCGGGGGATCTGCAGTGCTTGGTCAATGGTTTCCTGCTGAATGTCTCACCTTGTATTGCATTTCTCGTATTTTCTCGTTGAATATGCACAAACTATGTCAAACTATGTCAAAGTAATACTGCAAAGGAGGACCATATTGCTGGTCTGGCTTGATGCTTTGTCGTTTTCATGACTTGGTTTGGCCCTCGGTGAAGGCATGTGTTGTGCGCAGGCAGAAATTTCGGCAGCACGTGACCGCATTGCAAAGCAAGAGGTGCAAAGAAGTTTTCGTCAAGCAAGTGACAGTCGCAAAGGACACAGCTTGAATACATTTGAAGTCACGTCAGCTTCAAATGTAAGCTGCAAGAGAATCAAAATCCACAGACGGAAACTCCGAAGCTAGAGCTTTCCCACTGCCCTTGAGAATATTTCTCAACTTTCACGAAATGAGCCGGACTGTCCATTGAATTGTGTCAGGTTTTAACAAAACAGCACCAAGCAGAATGAATCAGAACCTGACCTATTTGCCTATTTACTTCTTGTTTGTTTGGATCAATTTACAACATTTTACACGGCGCTCAAAAGCTCAAAGTGTCTCGTGCCTCGAAGGCGGCCATCAAAGCAGCTGCTGCGGCAAAAGAGAAAGCCCAGACGCAGGCGCAGGCGCAGCGACAGTTCGACAGTTCGTCAAAGCGTTCCTCAAAGCGTTCAACTCTGTTCGTCATTCCTCAAACTCCAGAGTCGAACGCGTCGAACTTGAACTCGTCGAGTTTGTCCATTTCCGAATTCGGCTCCAATTGGACCGGAGTCATTTCAAATCGGACTCAATTGGACTCGGAGTGAAGACTAGTGAAGCATGTGAATGCAACATGTGAATATACATGTAAAACCTCTGGACTGATGTACCGTGCTTTGCTGTGCTTTGTTCTGCATACATGATCTTAATTGATCTTATATGTGCCTTTGGACTTCGAGGAGCTTTGTTATGAGCAAATGTGTGTGGGTGTGATGTCTTCTTCCGAGTGAGAAATGAAGAAATTCATTGAAAGAAGCGCAAGGAATGCTCACAAGACATTGCAAGACTCCGTGTTTGTATTGGATTCTGTGCTTCTTAGTACTTCTCAATTTTTCTTTCAAAAGGTTCTTCGTTTATTTCGTTCTTTAATATTTTGTCCTTAGTAGCTTTAGTTGTTCGTTTCTTTGCCTTTTCGAAGTCGTTTGAGGTGACTGAGGAGGGGCGGCAGAGACGGAACTCCGTCCCCTTGCTGGACGAGTTGGAGGCGAGTTTTTGCATGTTGGAACAACGAAGGAACAACACGAAACACAAAACGAAACACAAAGCGAAATAATTTGAAATATGATGAAATATGATGATGACATATGATGACAAATGATGACATATGATGACATATGATGACATATGATGACATATTATGATGACATATTATGATGACATATGATGACATATTATGATGACATATGATGACAAATGATGACAAATGATGACATATGATGACAAATGATGACAAATGATGACATATGATGACATATGATGACATATGATGACATATGATGACATATGATGACATATGATGACATATGATGACATATGATGACATATGATGACAAATGATGACATATGATGACATATGATGACATATGATGACATATGATGACATATGATGACATATGATGACATATGATGAAATATGATGACATATGATGACATATGATGACATATGATGACATATGATGACATATGATGACATATGATGACATATTATGACATATTATGATGACATATGATGACATATGATGACAAATGATGACATATTATGATGACATATGATGACATATGATGACATATGATGACATATGATGACATATGATGACATATGATGACATATGATGACATATGATGAAATATGATGATGACATATGATGACAAATGATGACATATGATGACATATGATGATGACATATTATGATGACATATTATGATGACATATTATGATGACATATGATGACATATTATGATGACATATGATGACAAATGATTACATATGATGACATATGATGACAAATGATGACATATGATGACATATGATGACATATTATGATGACATATGATGAAATATGATGACATATGATGACATATGATGAAATATGATGACATATGATGAAATATGATGACGTATGAGGACATATGATGAAATATGATGACATATGATGAAATATGATGACATATGATGACATATGATGACATATGATGACATATGATGACATATGATGACATATGATGACATATGATGACATATGATAACATATGATGAAATATGATGACAAATGATGACATATGATGACATATGATGACATATGATGACATATGATGACATATGATGACATATGATGATGACATATTATGATGACATATTATGATGACATATGATGACATATTATGATGACATATGATGACAAATGATTACATATGATGACATATGATGACAAATGATGACATATGATGACATATGATGACATATTATGATGACATATGATGAAATATGATGACATATGATGACATATGATGACATATGATGAAATATGATGAGATATGATGAAATATGATGACATATGATGAGATATGATGAAATATGATGAAATATGATGACATATGATGACATATGATGACATATGATGAAATATGATGATCACATATGATGACAAATGATGACATATGATGACATATGATGAAATATGATGACATATGATGACATATGATGACATATGATGACATATGATGACATATGATGAACTATGATGACATATGATGACATATGATGACATATGATGAAATATGATGACATATGATGACATATGATGACATATGATGAAATATGATGACATATGATGACATATGATGACATAAAATGACATATGATGACATAAAATGACATATGATGAAATATGATGACATATGATGACATATGATGAAATATGATGACATATGATGACATATGAGGACATATGATGAAATATGATGACATATGATGACATATGATGACATATGATGAAATATGATGACATATGATGACATATGATGACATATGATGACATATGATGACATATGATGAAACATGATGACATATGATGAAATATGATGACATATGATGACATATGATGAAATATGATGACATATGATGACATATGATGACATATGATGACATATGATGAAATATGATGACATATGATGAAATATGATGACATATGATGAAATATGATGACATATGATGAAATATGATGAACTATGATGAACTATGATGAACTATGATGAAATATGCTGAAATATGGCGAAACATGATGAAATATGATGAGCTATGATGAACTATGATGAGCTATGATGATCTATGATACACTACATTACACTACACTACACTACACTATATAATTACATTACACTACACTACACTAATTACACTACACTACACTACACTACACCAACTACAACTACAACTACAATTACAACTACACAACATTACACATTATTACGCTACACTGCACTAATTGCATTACACTACACTACACTACACTCCATTACACTACACTCAATTACACTACACTACGCTACACTACGCTACACGACACTAACTACAACTACAACCGCCATTACAATTACAACTAGAACTGCAACTACACCACACTACACTACATCCAGCAGTTGTGGGTGAGGTGACCGACCAGGTGACCACTGCAACCATTGTAACCACTCCAAAAAACACAACTCCATCCACCTGTCAGTCCATCAGTGGATTCGCTCTGCCATCATCACAACAACTCACCTCTCCTATAGTGTCCTATGATTGAAACTTCCGCCACTGCCTTGTGCGGTACTATGATGAAATATGACGAAATGTGATGAAACCTGATGAGACATGATGAAATGTGCTGAAATATGCTGAACTATGGTGAACTATGATGAACCATGATGAAACCTGATGAACTATGATGAAATCAGATGAAATCTGATGAAATATGATGAACCGTGATGAAATGTGCTGAAATATGCTGAACTATGGTGAACTATGATGAACCATGATGAAACCTGATGAACTATGATGAAATCAGATGAAATCTGATGAAATATGATGAAGTATGATGAACTATAATGAAATATGATCGTTTGAACAATTTCAAACATTAGCATTGTTCTTAACATTGTTCAAGAACATTGTTGAACGTATTGAACAATATTGCTTTTAGAACAGTTCTGTTTTGGATTGCTGGGACATGTGCATGTTCCTCCGTGCCATGATTCATGTGCAGAATGAGCTCAGAGTAGATGCTGCAGGCAGTAGATGAGTAGATGTGAACTTCACAATCTTCATGCAACTCTCCGGTAAAGTGAGACACTACGACTTCTGCTACTTCCACTTCTTCTACTGTATCAACCTCTTTTACTTGTTTGTTGATGTTTGTTGTATTTTTTGTGATTTTATTGGGTGTTGTGGGTGTCCTGGTTGTCATTGTGGTTATTGCGGTTGTGGTTGGCGTCCTCGTCCTCGTCCACGACGTCGTTGTTGTAGATATAATATATATGTATATATTATATATATGTATATTATATATATATTATATATATATATATCTGTGTGTGCATGTATGAACATTTCCAGAAAAATGAACATAAAACATCACATTGACATGATACTCATATTCAAGGAATATCAAACCTTCATGATCCTTATTACATTTTTTTTTAAAAACTGAGTTCAGACTTTGCCTACTTCGCTGGAAGGAGCGGTCTGGAGAGGAAGGGCCCATCTTTTCGTTGCGGAAGATGTCGGAGCTTAGGTGCCTTGACAGCACGACGCCTCGAGGTCAAAGACCCGAGACAATCGAAGCGACGGCGGTGATTCTGATGCAAACGGTGAAATATGGGGAAAGATGGTGAAACTCTAAATCGTAAGATATCATAAGACTGTAAAATTACTGTAAATCGAACTGCAGATCCAGAAAGCTCTGCGACAAGGTTCAGAGATGTTTAGATTACATTTTTTCTTTCATTTGAAATGGGAGTACGGGCTGCCACACTCACAGATCCATCGTGAACATATAAACTGTTCAAGAGTGCCAATGTTCTCCACGCTGAGCTCCCAGTAATTCTAAATGCATGGCTGCCAGACCTGCCAGACCTGCCAGACCTGAAGTCAAATTTCTTTGATTTCCCATTCTGATCTTCATTCGTCATTCGTCATTCGTGGAGTCGATTGAGGTGCTTGGTTCTGTCCGAAAACCCCATCAGAAGTGCCGACGTCCTCGAGGCTCGGATCGGCCGTCTCCAGCATTTGTGAAAACCTAGGGCTGGAGCGCCCGATTTTAGCCGAGGGCCCAATCTAGGATTCCATTTTGGTTCATGGCACATCTGTGTTCCGACCATGGCCCAATCAACAAACGACAACAAACATATGCCAGCAGATGCTATACAAAAGCAAGACCGATGCCATGCGATGCCATGCAATGCCATGCCAAAGAGGGGACATGCAACATCCTAACATATCCTAACTCTGCAACAAAGGTCAGTGAATGAACTCCATGGCTAGGTGATGTCCAGGTCAGAGGCAAATTGTGCATGCCGTGTGCCACTCATTCTGATGCAAGATGACATGGTTCGACTGGTGGATGCATCGGACATTTCCATCGAAGGCAATGACCAAGTTGAAACAGATGTATGATGTGTACGATGATTTTTATTTTCGTTTTTCTTTTATATATCAGATGCTGTTTCTGTTTTCATTCTTTATTTTCTTTTATTCCTCAAACAAATATTTATCCATTTTTATTTTTCTAATAATTTTGATACATAACTTATAATAACTTACTGTATATAAAATTTTCTATATGTTGTTTTTTTCGTTTTTCTCCATGTCTTTTTCGTTCGCGAGGCGGTGCAGCCGTTTGGACCCCGCGGCGCGGACCTCTTGTTGCACTGCACGGAGGCCGCCACGGCGCTGGGTCTGCGGCGGCCAGAGCTGCTCAAGGATAAGGACCGAAACCGAAACCGAAGAGATTTTTCAACGCAAATTCTATAGCAAGTATGCTAAATTTTAGCTAAATTCTATCATATTATATCATATTTATATATTTATCAATTCTATATATATATATTGCAATGAGTGGTGTCGGATTGTATCATCTTGATGAGGAAAGTAGCAACGAAACTATGTCTCCCTCCTTTCTCGAAGCTGTTGGCTCTAAGGGCAACTCACCCCCCTGTCAACCACCATGTGGTTGTCAGGGGGAGTAGACAAACAAAAATGGTACCGGTTCAAGTTCAGGCCGGGGCAGCTGCTGGAGGCAGCTGTGAGAGACGATGAAGGAAGGAGCCAGGGTACCCTCCTGCTGGAGGTGTTGACGCATGAGGCCACTGATCCCAAGGGCCATTGGATCACTGGGCGCTATGTGGTGGCTTCTGATGGTCACATGCGCTGGTGGATGAGCGATGGTGAAGGCCGAGTCTTGGCCAAACGTGGCTCCTTCCACTTCTGCGAGGAGAACAGCCAGGACTGCCAAGAGACCCGAAAGAGTCGTGGCAAGTGCATGCACCTGGAGAAGTTCAGGGAGATCACGCAGAAGGAGGTCGATGGCAAGGTACCGGGCTGGGCTTTCGAGGGGGCCCCCAAGAAGATCTTTGCGGCCTACTTGAAGCAGGTGACTCTCCCAGAAGAACCGCCGGGAAAGAAGGAAGGGTTACCCTGGCAGAAGCCAGGTGAGGAGTCAGATGCTGAAGAAGGCTCTGAGGAGAGTTCAGTTTCCGTGGCCATGAAGGACCGCCTCAAGAGGGCTCGAGATGAGCTCAAGCGGCTTGAAGACAGGGCGCAACAGAAGAAGCAGAAGAAGAAGCTCAAGAGAGGAAAAGGGACAGCACCTGCCAAGGCCAAGGCAGTGAAGAAGAGGGATAGAGAACGCCGTGAGAGGGAAGATTCACCTGCCCCAGGCAGAGATAGGGAAAAGAAGAGAAGGAGGAAGAGGTCCCCTGGTGATGAGGTTGACAGGGACCGTGGAAGGCGCAGGAGAAAAGACAAGGTGTCCTCATCAGGTACGGGGGACTTAGACGCTGAGGAGTCTCCGGATGATCTCTTCGGGGAAGTGGTTCCCGATCGTCCTGGTGGCTCTGAGCGCAAGGGCCGTGTGGATCGAGGACCATTTGGTGGTGGAGATCTGGTGAAGTTTCGTGGGCGATCTGACTCTGAGAGTGAGTCTTTTCAGGACGCCCCCGCCGGTCGAAAGGCAAGCAGCCAGCTCAAGCTGGCGAGCTACGCAAAGAAGAAGCCGGGCAGATTGGCCTCCAGGATGCTCCTGAAGATGGTCAAAGAGTCTGCCCACGGATCGGTGGGGGCGGTCGTGAACGATCCAAACCCCACGCCACCGGCAGCCGTCCACTACCTGATGACGGTGCTGACCCCACAACTGGGGAGTCGTCTCAATCTGAGGACGCAACGGGAGCTGAAGACAATTTGCACGGCAGTAGACATGCTGGCACAGAAGCAGCCAGCGCAAGCGGCCGACGTGCTGGCCCAAAGGGTGAAAGCCCTTGTGAAGGCCGGGGAGGGCGGCCACTGGAACTCAGCGCAGTTCTTGGAGCTGCTGAGTCCGGAAGGAAGCAGCCTCCTGGAGAGGGCAGAGGAGGTTTACACCTCACGCGAGTACCTTCTGGACATGAAGATCAAGAATTACGACAAGCCGAAGGGTCACCGGCCAGAAGGTCGAGGTCAGGGCGACAAAGGCGGAAAGAAAGGTCGCGAAAAAGGGAAAGGAAAAGGAAAAGACGGCGACAAGAAGGAGACGGCAGGAGCCTAGAGGCTCAAGAAGGCGGCACCCTGGAGGGCATCTGGGCCGCGTGGGGTGCTGAATGGAAGGAATGGTGCCAACGGGACCCTGTGGCCATCATTGCGGGGCTATGGAAGATGCTCCCACTGCTTCCCTGTAGTCGGTCTCCTAGCACTTGCCTCTAGAAAGGACGGAGCGCCTCTCGGGGTTGAAGCCTCAACTTCACACAAAGGAGACGACCTGTTCCCCATCTGTACAAAGAGGGTGGCCACCTACCTCCTCGACAAGGGGCACGAGGTGTCTGATGCAGTGGCTTGCATGGTGAACTCCCTGAACTACCTGGCTTTGTATGCCTCTGGAGGAGTTCTTCCACGTGCAGTGGCCGAGAGGAGCCTGACCCAGGCGCAGGAGGGTGCCGTCTTGCACCTGTGCGACCTGGTGGAGCATCTGAGGGACTCTAAGGTGCGATCCCCGGGGTTTCAAGAGGCATCGAGGGACCTAGGAGCTGCACGCTTTGACTATGCAGGAGAGCCTGTGGTCCCCCTGGAGGAGTTGGTTGCGGAAAAAGTAATCCAGGCCTGGCCGAAGATTGGTGAGGCGGCAGTCCAAGATGCCATTGAGCTCGTGCCCGAGCACCTACGTCGACAACTCCTGGATCCGCACTCCTGCTTGAAACAACTGCATGAGTGGCCTGAGCGGCCAGTGACCTCCAAGGTGAGAGCTTCCCCTGGTGAGTGGGAGAAGATAGTAGCTGCGGCGCATGCCCGGGGGCTTATGGTGCCGGTGGAGGTGGATGATGTCTTCAAGGATTCATCAGGTCACCCCGTCCTCAATGGGGCGGGTGGTGTTCGGAAGTTAAAGAAAGTTGGAGGTGAAACCAAAGAACTCCAGCGGTTCATCTCCAACCTGATCCGTAGCAACATGTACCAGGAACGGATCGATGGAGATGACAAGTTGCTGCCTTACCTGGGGCAGCTCACCCTTGTTGAACAAGGTGACTCAGAGATCATCCTGGTGGACTCTGAGGACTTCGTGCTTCAACCTGTTTCGCTTGCCCCCTGTATGGCATCGTTTTATGGCCTTTGGCATGTTGGTGGATGCGAAGGTTTTTGGAGGACCTCCAGGTCATCGGGTGTACCCGGCGATGGCCGTCCTTCCCATGGGCTGGCTGTCGTCGGTGGCTGTCATCCAGTCCATAGTTCGCACCCTGGTTTTCTCTGAAGCAGGGGTGCCGCCGGTGTCGGAGGTGGCAAAGACTAAACCTATACCAGAGGATGATGATCTCACGGTCATCTATCTGGATTCCTTTGACCAGCTGCGGAGGCTCAGCCGAGGGTGTGAGGAAGCGCTTCAGGAGACGATGTCCAGCAGGCATCGGGATTTTCTGGAGGTATGCAAGAGGAGAGGGTTGCCTCTCAACGAGGCCAAGCGCTTGGTGTCCTCGACGCATGGAACCCTTCAAGGTGGAGAATTGGACGGGATCAAGGGTCGCTATGGACTTGCCAGAGAGAAGATGGCCAACTTGGTAGGCTTGGGTGCAGCTCTACTGGGGCAACAGACTTGGTCAGAGTTTTTGCTGCGCCACTTTGTGGGAAAGGCAACTTTCGGTATGTGTTTTAGGCGGCCTCTCTTTGCTGTTTTCCAAGAGATCTTTGGGGAAATTCAAGCCCATGCAGAACAAGGCACCTCAGCCAGGCCGACATCATCGGTGGTGGATGAAGTGATCCTCGCCATGTCCCTTGTCCCCATGATGGTGACCAACCTGAAAGCACCAGTGGATTCAGAGATCGGGGTGACTGATGCTTCACCAAGTGGGGGTGGGGCCGCAGTGGCCACGGCTTTCAGGCACCCAGCCAATACTGTGGAGGCAACGCCTGATCGGTGCTATGAATGTGGACGGGCCCTTGAAGCAGGATCCATGTACCCCTGCCCAGCTGACTGTGGTGGGGTGTTTTGCACCCTGGCGTGCGTGATGGAGCACCGGGACATTGTTCACCCCGCAGCGCGGGAGTGCCCTAGGAGGGCGTGGCGTCCTCCCCGTTTTGGTGAGCGTTTCGCGGGCCGTCGTGCTCCTCTCTCCCACGCGGTGGCAATGGTGGGCCACATTGAGGTCCAGGAGCCCTTTGACATCCACTTTGGCCACGACGTGTTCACCGACGAGGGCAAGCAGACTCTGTCGAGGCTATGTGACGACGAGCACCTGGCGGCAGAGCACTGGGCACCTGAGTGCAAGCTGTTCTCAAAGGCTCGGGGCAAAGTAGTCAGGCTTGAAGATGGTACCCGGTTGCCTGGGCCTCAGCCTGTGAGGGACCACAAGCACATCATGGGTTTCCCCTGGCTTCCGGTGGATGTCAAAGCAAGGGTGCGTCAGTCCAATAGCATGGTGACTCGCGCCCGGCGCCGGGGAGCTGCCGCAAAAGGGCGGCGCTACTGGTCGATGGAGCATCCGTACAACTCTTGGGCGTGGGAGTTCAACCTGACCAAGGAGGTGGAAGAACTTGAAGGCTATCAGCACACTGTGGGCAGCAGCTGTTGCTTTGGGGGTCGGCGTGAGAAGTGGTTTTCCTTCCTCAACAACATGCCGCTACTGCAGCAGTTTCTAGGACTGCCGTGCCCAGGACATGAAGGGCTTCTCCCTTACACCGTCAGCAGACGTGCAGATGGGAGACTTGCCTTCGACACAGAGGAAGAGGCCGAATACCCTTGGGGGCTTTGCAGGGCGTATGCCCAGGCGCTACGTCAGCAGCTTGACAGGGACGGCATCTTTGAGCACATGGTCTTGCAGGAGCGAGAAAGCTACTACACCGTCCAGATGCTGCACTCAACCGCGCGTTTGGCCACCCCCCTGGTTTCTGAGGTGGTGGGATTCCAGGGCAAGAGCGAGTGCACCTCCGCTCTCTTTTGAGGGCAGCCACTTACCGTGGCACGGATGTCAGATTTTTGGTGGATCTGGGGACCGATGAGTCACCAGACGTGCATGAAATACCTTATTTGGCGATGAGGTGGCATTGGCAGACGGTCCTGGCTTTCCCATGGAAGCAACCAGGCCACATCAATGAGTTGGAGCTCAACACGGTCGCGGTCTTTTTGAAGCGGCGCAGCCGATCTTCAGGTAAGCTCCACAACAAATTCTTCCTGGTCCTGGACTCCATGGTGACGCGGGGTTGCCTAGCCAAGGGCCGGAGCAGTTCGAAGCGTCTCAATCAAGTCCTACGGCGATGTTCAGCCCACCTGTTGGCCACTGATGGTTACCTCTTCCCCCTGTGGACCATCAGTGCCTGGAACTTCGCGGACAAGCCCAGTCGGATGCATGAAAAAGCGTCGTAGCTTGCGCTTTGCAGGGCTTCATCCCAGGACTTTGAGAGCGTACCGGACTGCAATTGACAGGTTTCTCCGTTTTGTTAGCAAGCGGAGATTGGACATATCTCGTCCGAGCCGCCTCGATCGCCAAATTGCTGAATTCATCGATGTTTCATACCAGGAGGGGGAGCCCCTGTCATATGCGGGCCACCTGCTCTCAGCAGTGAAAAGGTTTCACCCCCGCCTTCGGCTAGCTTTGCCCGAGGCAAGTCAGTTTTTGCGGAACTGGCAACGCTGCTATGTTCCCCATCGGGCAGTTCCCGCTTCGTGGCCATTGGTGGAGGCCCTTATGGGGTATGCCTTCCGCCGGCGTGAGCCCGCGTTAGCCCTGCTGCTGGCACTGGGATTCTCCTGCCTGCTCCGTACAGCTGAGATGTTGGCACTCACCCACCATCATGTGGTGTTTCATCCAGGCCAGCGTGGACTCAGTGTTATACTTCCAGGAAGCAAAACTTCTCAGGGAAATCCTCAAGTCTTGTTAATTGATGATACAGACCTGGTGGCCTTGGCACGTACCATCGTCAAACCGCGGTGTGAAAGTTTGCTGTGGCCTCATGGTCCTCATCGCTTCAGGAGGACCTTTGGTTTTCTTTTGGAAGCGCAGGCTTTGGCGCTGCAGACTACACGCCTTACTGCCTGCGCCGGGGAGGAGCAACATTTTGGTTCCAGCATACCCTGTCTATCGATGCAGTAGTTGCTCGTGGCAGGTGGCAATGTCCGCGTACGGCGAAGTCCTACGTTGATGAGGGCACCATGCAGCTGGCGCATGTCTCTTGGACGCGGTCCCAAAGGGCATTGGTTAAGCAAGGGCGCACACTTTGTTCCCAAGTACGGCTTCGCCAGCATCGAAGCAGAAGTGGATCCTAGTGAGGGCCGGAATTAATTTTTTTCTCTCCTGCTTCTTAAAGTGGGGGTAGTGACTCTTGAGTCATCAGTGATCAGCCTTCCTGAGGGCTTGATACAGGTTCACGCCCACTCTACCAGCCAAAGGCTGTGAGCCAGGTCTTGACCAGCGCTGGTGGGTTTAGATGTTTCCTCTTGTACAGTTCCGTATGGCTGACGAGCCTCACTACTCTAGCAACTCAGAGGCGCTCCAGTAAAAGTGCTGAGAGTTCCAGGTGAGACATATATATATATATATTCCCTTGTACCTAAAATCGCACCACAGGAGAATATGTTGTCTTGTTAGCATGTTTCCGGAACCTTAAACTCCCGGCCGGATTTTTTCCGAATTTTCAATGGGGAATCCTCAAATATCGCAGTTTTATCGTATTTTCGATGGGTTTTACATGGATTCTTGGGTCCACCATGAAAAACCGATATTTTGCCCAACCTGAGCGGTTCCCCCACCGATATTTTTCCCATACAAAACCCATATTCCGGGAATCGAAAAAAAACTAGTTTTTGAGAACCCATAATTAACCTGTAAAAGGCCCATAATTAACCCATACTGACCCGTACAAATGTGTGGCTGTGACGCTGAATTTTTTCGACTCGGTGTAAAGGACAGCATATGAGCGCCAATTACCAGTGCCGAAGATGATCCATGCCCCACATTCAAGCTGTGATTTTGTTTTGATTTGCGGTCCTTGTAGCTAAATGAATATGACACTTTCGGACGCAACAGATTTTTGAACAAAGTTGGGCCATCACATATATATATATATATCCGAGACAGTAATCTCACATAACAAATCAGATCCAGTTCTGACTTGAGAAGAGCACCCGCAGTTGGAGCAATTCTACTTTGCACGATGGTATTGATCAACTACTTTTGTGAAACACAACAAGTAGATCAAGAAGAAACGCAGATATTTGTTCCTTCTAAACATAGGCCGTGCGTAGGCATGCTCAGCCGGTGTATACCACCCATGCAACCAAAGAATCACGGCTCAAATGGTGTGATTTGTCACGAAAGCTAGCGTCAGCTAGCTGGAGTCTTCTTGCTTTAGCAAGTATTCCGGGGGCTGCTCAAGGACATCACGTGATTTCTCACGCGAAAGGGCCCCACCCCCCCCAACCCCACCACCATCACCATCATCAGCATCATCGTCATCGTCATCGTCATCGGTTTCGTCATCGTCATGGTCGTTGGCATCGTTCTCGTCATCGTGATCATCATCATCACCATCACCATCATCATCATCATCATCATCACCATCACCATGAACATCATCATCATCATCATCATCATCATCATCACCATCACCATGAACATCATCATCATCATCATCATCATCATCATCATCATCATCACCATCACCATGAACATCATCATCATCATCATCATCATCATCATCATCATCATCATCATCATCATCATCATCACAATCATCATCATCATCATCATCATCATCTCCTCATCCTTATCATCCTCCTCCTAATCATCATCCCGATCATCTGCCCCATCCGCTTCATCATCATCACATCATCATCATCATCATCACCATCATCATCATCATTATCATGAGCATCATCATCATCATCATCATCCACATCATCATCATCATCATCATCATCGTCATCATCATCATCATCACCATCATCATCATCATTATCATGAGCATCATCATCATCACCATCATCATCATCATCATCACCACCATCCTCATCATCATCGTCATCATCGGCATCAGGTTCGATCCCCCCTGGTCCCACCCGAGCCTTCCCGAGAGGAGATTTCCGGCTGGTAGAGGGTCAGCATCCTCACTTAGGGTTTGACGCGGAAACGCCACCGACATCTCCCTCCTGACACTGACGCTACGTCTTCCCTTCTTTCTTTCTCCTACCCCGCTAGCTTTCGTCATCCACCCCCGGCCTCAAGTTTGATTTTGTTTGGCACTACATTCTTGAGTCCGAAGTGTCATGGCTGAAGCCTGGACTTCGTTGCAAGTTTAGGCTCAGGAACGAGATCCCAAAACGCGATTCCATTGCGATTCCAAACAAGTCATGGCCGCAAACTATCGCCGAGGCCGCCATCATTGGTGGTGAAGAGAATGCTCGGCAGATTGGTTGGGATCGGAGATCAACGCGAGAGATGTGAGCCAAGCAGTTGGTAGCCAACTTGCTCAGGGCAAGCCTTCGGTGCACGTGGCCGGCGGCGCCCACGGCCAAGCTGGCTATGGTTTCCGCAACGAATTAGCCGAGCAAATGCGAGAGCCAAAATTCCTTCAGGAAGACAAGGAGATGGCTGGGCGGAAGATGCAAGCTCATCCTGGCAAGCGGGTTCACGTTCATGACATGTGCAACGAAGATGAGCGCAAGAAGATCGAAGAGGCAAGGAAAGATCCGAACAAAGTCATCATCCAGGGTGAATGCTATGGCCACTTTAGGAACGAGAGGAAGAACGGGGGATCTGAGTGCTCTGTGAGCTGATAACAGCACTTGCGCTTGTACAGGAACAGCTGAAAAAATAATTTGCCAAGCAGTCGGATACTCAACCCCGTACTCTTCAAAAGAGGGAGAAGGGGCTGAGACTTCATTCAACCATCAACTAAAACTTCAATTAGTAGGGATGAGTCACTGGAACGATTGACTATGTTTTGCCGATCCACACGAGCTGACATGAAGCACAGGTCGGAGTGTGCCGCAAAAATGACGTACTAGCAGTGATGTCAAGAGTTAAGAGATTAACCATATTAAACATAATCAAACCACATTAAACCTATGAACCATTTGTGGGATGTCGACTGCAACCTGCATCCTGACCAAGTCTATTTTGGATGCTAGTGGGTGGTTTTGAGAACCAGAGATGCCGCGGAAGATGAAAACTTATTTGAAGATGCATCCTTAGTGAGCATCAAATTTGAAGAATACTAAGTAAGCCATGTCCCGTTGAGAGGTTTTATTTCTGCACATAATGCCGCATCAACTTATGGAGTTGAACAGGGTTCCCGAACTTCCCGGGGTTCCCCAGGGTTTCCATATTTTTTGGCCTTCCTTTGTTCAGGTGAATCCTCCAATCCATTTTGTATGGTTTTCATACATAATCTTAGACAAAACATAGTATCTATCTATCTATCTATCTATCTCTCTCTCTCTCTCTCTCTACATAACTATAATTCTGACTTAAGCTGTACTGTGAGACATGATATTTCTATTTCTACTTTATCATGACAAACAATCATATGATAACATGTGGAACACAGGAAAGGACATTTTTGGATTTCAATAAGTTCAGATTTCAATGATTTTAGATTTATAATACTTTTAGATTTCAATAATTTTGGATGTTTGGACCATCTTGTATGTTTAATATTTAATTTTTTTTGTTCTCTAATATGTTGCCATCCCATGAACCAATCTGAACAATCGAATTTGTTCCCTACGGAGGAGCGGAAACCGCTCTTGAATTTGGGCCATGCGTGGAATGCTCAGGGCCCTTGTCGGATGTTCAGGGACGGACCTTGTCAGAACTTTCCGACCTGGGAATGCACAAGGTTTTCTTGTCTTCGCAGCTTCACAGCTGATGTCTTGTCATTCTTTTCAGAGTAACCATGTAGGGCTCATAGGGTCAAAATCTCCATGATTTCACCTTTTGGTGTGGAGTTGTGTGGCACATTGTGAGTTGTTTCTTTTGGTTCTTCTGCTCCTACTTGTTTGGATTGTGTTGTCAAAGACGAAAGGAGCAAGGCTGACCTTGAGAAACGAGAAGGATCAAGAAACATTGATGCAACATGAACAGTCAAGGCTAGTCAAAATCCATACGACCAAACCGATAAATCTTCGATTTTGTCCCCTTGGATATGTTTTTTCATACCGAGGAAACACAGTGTAGACACGGTTTAGACACAGTTCTGAGTTCATACTCTGAGTATTTGCTGAGCAGGAAAGATGCATCGGCTCCACCTGAGGGCTGGGTATTGCGCTTGAACCCATTTGAGGCACACACTAACACTGTCTTTACAGTCAACGCTCCGGCATAACTATTGGCACTATACATCACTATACATGATCATGATCACATTGTCGATTTCGTCAGTTTTTGATATATGTATCCTACATATCTCATGAGGTCTTGTTTTTGTGACAACGTTGTGACAACCTTGTTCCGTTTGTCTCTCCACGGCCGGACGCCGGAGCTTTTCACCCGCTCTGCTCGTTTCTGCTTGGTTCAGCCAAGACCGGAAAACCTGAGAAATTTGAGAAAACCGAAAGAAAACCGAAAGTCGAGCCGCTCGAGCCAAAGAAAATCGAATCACAAGAAACTTAAAGAAGCTTAGACTCAAATCTTCAGCCAAAATGTCCTTGAAATCCTTGATAAAGTTACGAATAAGTTGTCAGCAAGGAGCAAGTTCTGAACTCGCAGATGTTGGGCCGAAAACAGCTGTGGTTGGACTTTGGAACGTCGCCTAACCCGGTAGCTGTTTGGCTCGGGACTTTCAACTCGGAGCTTCGAGCTCCTTGACGTCAACATAGGTCTATGAAGTTCAACTCTGAACGTGAATTGGAAGGTCAACAGTATGTAAACACTATGTAAACACAATGTAAACACTATGTAAGTTTGTTTTTATCAATGTAACATTTTTGAATATTTTTGACATGTTGATGTCGACGAGTGAACGGTTTCAGAAACCCACATGATTTTGAGATGCATTGTATCTCGTTTCAAACTTTGGAATTCAAGCAGCAAGAACGTGGAGAAGATGAGAGACATAAAGACCATAAATCATGTGCCATCTGCCTTTTAATTTTTGTTCTCTCGAAAGAACTGAGGTTACCAGAAATGGGCCATTTTGATCGCTTGTCCCTGGACTGAAAGTGACAAGACATCCAAGGGGTGTCTATGGGTCTGCGGTGGCTTGTGATCTGTGATTAGCAAAGCTCAAAGAGAGAGAGAGAGAGAGTCGATAGTAACTGATAGTACGAATACTTGTGTCAATGGCTTGTGTGGCCTGGCTACCTCAGGAAGAAGTACAATGGAAAAGAGAAAGACGCGAAAGATTCCAGAGATAAAGAGAAAGACGCGCGCGACGCACGCTTGAAGAAAACAGACAAAGAGCTGGAGGACTGTGGACTGTGGCTGTGCACTGTGTGTCAAATCTGTTCTGACTTGGAGTCGAGGGCTACCTTGCTACATCTACCGCGGCTTTCGAGGAAGAAAGGAAAAAGAAGGAGGAAGAAGAGTGGCGATCTCAGAAGATTCCTGAGCTGTTCCCCTCAAGCCTCTTGGAGCCTCTTGGAGCCTCTTGGAGCCTCTTGGAGCCTCTTAGACTTGAAATCAACTTGAAATGACTTGAAGAAATATGAAGCTCGACTATGTTCGACAATGTTCAACTTTCGCTTTCGAGGTTCCGCTTTCCAAGGACTTGCTCTTATCCTTTCAGTCAGTTTTCCTCCAACCTGTCTTCAAAGTATCAAGACACGCAGAGTCCTCTGCTTGAGGTCATAGAGTTGGCAGGACTCAAAAGCGCAAGAATGCAGCATTCAACACACACTTCCGCAAAAAGTTCAGCAACAAAAACAGCACAATATTCAGCAAGAAAATGCTTCAAGAAATCAGAAAATGCACAGGAAAATTACGGCCTGAACAAATATCTGAAGAAGGCTCCAGGCACAATGTGTTCTTGGTACTTACTCTAACCTTCATATCTTTTCATATCTTTTCATATATTTTCATATCTTTTCATGTTTTCTTAGTACATCTTAATACTTGTCGTCAGGACTTAAAGACCTGCGTTTGCATGAAGCTCTTTTGGTCCTCACCTTGTTCAACACTTGTACTCGATCTCTTTGTCCTCCCATTTCCAACACAGCTGGACTTTGCGCAGCATCCCAATGCTTAGGAAGGAGGAAGAAGAGTTGGAGAAAGAGTGCGAAAAATGGCCGGAAACACAGAGAAAGACTGAGAGTGGTTTCAGAATGTCTCAGCGAAACATGCCAATGTTGCGCAACATCGTAGATTTGGCCTTGACCAAGGTGCAGCATTGTCTGTACCTTGCCTGAATTATCTCAGGAACTCTCTCATGGCCAAATCACCAGACACACCCCGAGTCCTCCCGGGATGTCACGGAACACGATGAACACGATGAACACGATGAACACGATGAACACGATGAACACGATGAACACGATGAACACGATGAACACGATGAACACGATGAACACGATGAACACGATGAACACGATGAACACGGCACATCACATGTTCATCACATGTTCATCACATCGAGTTCTTGTCGAGTTCTTGTCGAGTTGTCGAGAGGCAAAGTGCTGATCATGGTCATCACCTTAGGGGTACTGACAGCGTTTCGTGGAGCACTGACAGCGTTCCGACATGGTCAGAGCATGTCAGAGCTATTAATCCTATGATAACCCTATGATAATCCTATATGATAATATGATATAATAGTGATTTGTTGTGATTTGTTGTGATCATGTTGTCATGTTGTGTTGGAGTCCAGACTGGTACTTCGATTGCGAAACTCTCCGCCGAGGTGCCTATTCTGGTGACGTACCTGCTGATGCCAGCCAGAGAATTGGTACTACGACCAGAGATGACGATAGATACGTCAGCTGCCCCAGTTTTTACCGTCACCTGAAAAAACACTTAATTCTGAAAGAACATGAAAAAACATGAAAAAACATGAAAGAACATGAAAGAACATGAAAGAACACTTAATTCTGAAAGGAATTGCGTTTACAAAGCACTCAGCTGAGGAACTGATATGAATTGATTTAGCAGATTTCATGCTAAGGCCGAATCTGAGCAGCTTGGCTGGCACCAAGATGCTGCAGACCGGACCTTCCTAGAAGCCTGACAAAGCATGACAGAAAGCATGACAAAGTGGACAATTAAAAACTCATGGGAGATCCTGAACAATTAAGGTGGCATGCGTGCCGTGCCTGCCTTAGCGCTTTCCTTTGGAGGTTCCAGGTTTCACCAGGTTTCACCAGGTTTCACCAGGTTTCACCAGGTTTCACCAAGTTTCACCAGGTTTGACAGATTTTGAAAGACGTGACAGGACCTGTCCAGCTGTTGTAGACTCCGGTAGACTTCGACCCGGTGGCAGCGCAGGTCGTTACAGGTGGCTGCTCAGGTGCAAGACTCAGAGCTCACTGTCGCAATTCCGAACGTAAACCTCCAACAGAACTGCAGACAAATCCAACAAACTTCCTTAAAAGCCTTAAAACCTCCCTAAAACTCAAGTGAACTTCCTTATTCTCCCTAAACATTTTCAACAAGTGCGTCTCAAAAACTTGCAAGCAACTACAGCAAAACCTTATGGGTCTAATCCCACAAGAAGCGTGAAGAAAGGATTCAGATATAGGTATGCCAACAAAAGATACGAGTTTGTCTATTGCCTTTCTCATCTTCATGTGCCTCCAGCGGCTCATTCATGGAGGAGCTGAGAAGCAAAGCTCCAAAGTGGCTGATTTCAGATCCAACAGGTTCCGGAAGGCATAGCTAATTTTATCAACAGCCAGTATTTGCATTGCCTTCAAAACTCGAACATACAGATAACATCAGAAATACATCAGATAACAGAGCAACGAAGGAATTTCACGAAGGTTTTTCAGGAAGTACTGCGAGCAAGGCAATGGACCAGACGGGGGCAGAAAGGAACATACACACGCAGCATGAAAAGCAAGAATGGCCCCAAAACCCAATCGGAGCCACCTCTCGTGCGAGAAGATGGAAAGAAAGATGTAGAAACAAGAAACAGGGAAGGGGCGGTTAGGCAAAAATTTAACTCTTCCATCTCTGAGCTTTTTGGGGGATTCGGTCGAACTTTTGTTCAGGTTCGTGTGCTACAAACATCCAACACAAATTAAAGAGAGGTGATTCACAATTTGGATCAATTTGCCATTTACAATGGTGAAGAAAAGGGAAGGATGGAAAACAGATTGCCTCGGCCTTGCATGTTCTTGTATTCACTCAGATCTCAAGATTTGATTGATCGTTGTGGTTCTCACTGGGCATACAAAATCGAGAAGCTCCAAGTACAAACTTCGTTTGGACATGAACACTGACATGCTGAATACCGGAATTCGATGGACTTCGATGGACTTCGATGCAATTCGATGCAATTCGGCAACATGCAGTGGACGTCCATCGGAAATGCCGTCGGAAATGTCACGTTGACACGTTTCGTCACGTTTCGTCACGTTGTGAGGTCTCGGGCTTCACACAGCCCTGTTGATGGCTCAGCCAAAGTCTTAGTGAAAGACCCGGAGAGGGTCCCGGAGACGGTCCCGGAGACCCCATTCCGGGACCGTCTCCACATTGTCTCCATATGTCTCCCAGTTTTCCAAACATTCTCAAGACCTTTCGTTCAGAATCCTTCAAATTCCTATGAATTTCCGATAATAATATAATTTCAAACATGTCTATTTTTCTATTTAGATTTGCTTAAGTATAATTTCCATGTTCTTTTTATGCGAGGTTGGAAAGGCGAACGGGCAAAGAACAAAAGACAAAAGCAAATCACATTTGGATCCCAAGATGGTCGTTCAGCAAAGAGACGCCAGAGAAAGGTTTTCAACCGTCTGAAGGAAAATCGGTACCGGTACTCTCGGTGAAATTGCAGAGAAAACAAGAACTTGCATGGAGGAGTGGGTGGTAAGAGTCAAAAGTACAAGCTTCACAGAAAGACTTATACAAGCAGATAGAGAGCGCGCAGACAAAACCAATTTGCGAGAAAAGACGTTTGACGATGAAGGAATCAGTGCGAGGAGACAAATGATATGTAGAACGGGCAGAAGTGAAAGCGAGAAGCCAACCTCAGCACGCTTGGCAAAACATTTGACAGGACAAACGGCCAAAATGGATTCTAGCAAGGCCGAAAATGTGGAGTAGAGATTTTTCCTCTTGATTTTGCATTCTATCCCACCTTCACCTTTGCTTCGTTAAAATCTTCTAGTAGATGCTTTGAATGATTTTGGAAGGACTATTTATTGACAATTGGTGTCGTTCTAGGTCGGGAGCATCTGTGACGTTGGGCTGCCGTTCGAATTCCGAGCTTGCGCTGCTTGGAAGAAAAAACAACACATTTTTAAAGAGCTTTCGACATTTTTTTGTGGTTGAACTATGTTGAACTTTCACATGTTTTTTTCCGTTCTCCCATCAGAGTTCCTTGAATTGGTAACAAAAAAGGCAGTCCGATGGATGCTGGAGAGATGAAGTCCCATGTGCTCAAAGGTGTGAATCTGAGGTTGCAACGCTTGAAAAAGGTCAGCAAGGCCAAAGCACAGCCTGCTGCAACTCAGCTTCAACTATGCAAGGCCTATGCAGCTATTCATGCAATTTCTACGATGCAAAATCATGTGGCTCCACCAAAAGTTCACCCCAACGGACAGCCATGCTTTTTCTAACGCTTGCAGCCCTACGTTGCACCTACGTGGCACTCCTCGCCAGCGAGCTTTCATGAACCTCTTAACAGTGCAGTTGTACTACCCTCGCGCCAATATGCCTTCATCAAGCAGTGAACTTGTTCATAATCACAGTATTTCACCGTCAACATTGTTTGGGTCAGATTGCAATGCTTCGTTCCAAGATATGCCAAGATGCTTTTCAAGGTGCGTTCCATTTCTTGTGTTTCCTTGTGGCGGACTTTGCGTCTTGGGTCTTGGTTTTCTTATGTTTTCTTGTTGTGCTCAGCTTTCCCAAAATTGGTGAAAACTCCTTGTGCCGTGCTTTGCGCCGTGCTTTGTGGTGAGAGTTCTTTGGAATGCTGTTGAGATGGCCCGCTACTTGTACCTGTGTCTTTTAGCTTCCGGATACATCACTTACTTATACTTACTTCACTTATCTTCACTTTCTTTCGGGAACAAAGTAATCTACGTTGCTTGACAGATCTGGACAGATTGAGTCTTGTATTGGCTAGGTACTGCTAGGTGCAAGTCGGTTTGTGGTGCCCATGTAGCCAGGGGCTGCGCGGGTAACTTCTGTGATTTGTCTGAGAGGGTGTGTCTACTGTGTCTATGGCATAGTATGGCATACGAAGTATAGCTATATAGCAGATGACAAGCCATACAGCGATTTTTTTCGCGTTGGCTGGGTGGTGCTCAGGTTTGGCCTTTAGAAATGGACTCTTTCGACTCTGTTCGCTCTTTTGCAGAGAGACTTGGCTCGTGTCAGTTGGCACAGCTGCCTTTTCAGCGGATGACAAAGGCATACAATGCATACAACATGTCCAACGGCTTTAGATTTGGAGAAGCTCTGGACATGCTTTTGCAATTCGTTTGGGGATTGGTTTATCTTGTCCTTGCTCTTCGCTTGCTCGCAAGGAGATATATTGAGAGCATAGGAACGCACGACACCTAGAAGTGCAGCTTTCAGAAGCTTCATGCTTTCAAAAGCCCACGTTGATCTTTCAAAGATTGTCACTCTCTTTCAGCAAATCCAATTGAAATGCAAAGAGTATGAATGATATTCAACAAGATTGGTCAATTCATGTCAATTCTGACCTCTGAAACTTGAAGAACTTGAAGAACTTCAACTTGGTTTAAATTGTTTCTGCTGAAAGAAATCTTGTTAAAGAAAGTGGAGATTGCTTTACATGGCCTGACCTGTTGACGGGCCCTGAGTCCTGACTGGTGGTGACTGGTTGTGAGGCTTCATATTTTGGTGAACAACGTGGGTAGCACCAAAGCCTGCAGCCTCACGACTGATGGCATTGAATCTGCCTTTCAGGTCGCCTTGCGTGAGATTCACAGTGCCTTACAGTGCTTCAATGTGAATTCAATGTGCTTCACCAGTGCTTCACCATCTCTAGGATTCTCTGTGGAGCCTGCGGTCTTACGAGTAAAGCTATTGGCTTTTTGCCTTGACCTGTGAAACTCGAACTAGGAGCACAGCCTTCACAGCCTTTAGATGGCCGTGTGTTCTTTTGATTCATGGGACGTTGTTGATATTGGATGTCCTTGTGCTGATAGAATTTTGTGTTATTTGAGAGTAAAGGCCGTAAACGCCTCAGTTACAAGCAGAAAAAATGAAACAGTCATTTTGCCTACACGGCACCTTCATTTTGGGGTTTTCTGCACATTCCCCAACTAATTGGTTTTGTTATTTTTTCAGCCGTCTTTTGTTCACAGCAGCGATTCTGCAAGCTTGACCGGTCCACCGTTTGGGTACCGGCAATGCAGGAAACATCTGGAAAACGTGAAATTCTTTACTTGGTGAACCACACTTTGCAGTGATGTAACGGCATATGAACGTGCATACATGCCCCACCCCACATCCACGGTGTAGCATCTACTTCATGTGCAACTGCATGTGAACGTTCATACATGCCCCACCCCACCCCCCACCCCACCCCCCACCCCACCCTCCACCCACACAACTCTCATCTCTGTTTCGTTTGATTGCCATCACAAAGAAGATTGAACAGTTCTGGATGATTTTTCAGGATTTTGCGTACTTGTCTTCTTGGATACTTTGGTGTTCGGCGGCTTTCAATGCCATAAACAGTTTTTACAAAAGAGTTCTGGTGAAAAGGTTGATCTTTTGGTTGATTTGCCTTCAAGACTGTTCACGGCCAAAATGTGGTCGCTGGACATCTCTGGACATCTGTGGACGCGCTGCGCTGCGGAGGTGAATTATTTGAGTCACTTCCTCCTCACAAATCTGTTGCTCCCTACACTTCGGGCAAGCAGCCCCGCACGAATCGTGAACGTGGCCTGTCAAGAAGGCACTGACAAAGCGACGTGACGACTTTAATGCAAAAAAACATGTATTTGTCAACGACCGCTTCAGGGAAGTATACGATACGATTCCACATATACTCCACACTTGACCCTGAGGATTCCAAATGAAACATCGAGATGTCGTCAAATCACTTGGGCACGGAACTCCGAGCTCCAGTAGCCCTTCTGTTCCCAAGTTGCTCAATTTGCTGTCTGTTGTAGTGGCACTAACATGTGTTATACATATATGTGTATATAACATGTGTGTTTTTTCAGTTCATATGAGGGCCTTCGGCATCCTGCGCCGAGCGCCTGCCGCTGTAGGCTACCTGCGGGCCGCACGCGGCTGGAGCCATCGGTTCCCCGAGGACGTGGAATCCGTGGAATCCGAAGCGGCAGGGGAAGCGATGGCGAAACAACACCGAGCCATGTCAGATTTTTAAATTTGATTAAATTTGCACAATATGTAGAAAATACTGTATATCATATGTCAGATAAATATCTGACATGATATAATATGATATCATGAATATAAAATTATATCATATAATATCATATAATTATGATAAAGGTGATTATTTATAAAATACTGTATATCATATAATACCTGATATAATATCTTTGCACATATGAATATACATCATATTATATTATATCATATGTATGTACGTATATATTGTAACATCATTAATTGAACGATAAAGTTTGAGTAAATATATAACATATCTCTAAAACTAAACCATTTCTCTTGAACAATATTGATGTGTAGACGTTGTCTTTGACATGTTATCTGTTTTAACCCAAAGCCACATTCTGCAAGGTGCCCAGGGAAACAAGACATGGCAACTGGAGGTTTTCCAGTGTGGGTGCATTGAAGTCTCCACGCAAGCGGATAGCTACTGTGGATATCGGTGGATTAGTGTTTCGTTGCTTTGTCACTCTGCCCAGTGCATGTTTCTGTTGGACAAATAGACTTTGAATCCACCCTTTCCCCAGCGAGGTAATTCGTATGTTGTTCAGTTTGTCCTGTTCGGTATCAAGACGCTGATTTGCAGGGGATCTTGCAGGGCTGGCTTGGAAGCCCAGTGCCCATTCAAGAGACCATCAGGCGAGTTGCTTAGCGGCTTAGCATTGGTAGTGGAAACACAAATTGAACACAATTTGAACACCTTCAAACCAGAGCTCCATGAGCGACTTAGCACAGTTTGCAGGTGTTGGCATTGAACATTTCGCTGCCAGGGTAGGTTCTGTGCGACTTGCATTCAATGCAGAAAGGCACCAGGGTACCGGGGACTTCGTCGCTAACGGCCTGTGTCCAGTGTCCTTGCGATTTCAGGTTAGGTTCCCATGGTGGAAGCTTAAATAAGGCAGTTTGATGGTTTCGACATCTTTGATGTGGAAATAACTTAGGCATTTCTAGGATGTCACTTTGCGAGCGCCGAGCTGAACAGAAAAGAAAGAGTCCCGAAGCGTTTTGACAAACAGAAGACCACAAAGATGAATACAAATAGTAAAAAAAAGCAATACAGCAATATATTTCAACAAATTTCAGCATTCCTCAGACTGCTTGAGAGCTCCAGGGTCGATCGGGCATCGCAGAGATTTGAAGTGACTCATAGTGACTTATGAGTCTCGTGAGTCTCGCTCTTGATTTAAATCATCTTGAATTCGATTTGAATTGGTTTGACTTACACAACATATTCGCGAGATGAAAAGGTAGGCATCTCGCTGGCAAGCGGATGAGCAGATCCAAGCTCCTGGTGATCGAAATCTGTGAAAGAATTTGTAAGATTGACATAGATTGGAATTTGTTTATGGAAATCTATTTGGTCACATGTCAAGACAACTTTCGAAGAACAAAGGACAGTGGAAACAGTGGAAACAATGGTGCAAGGAGCGTCAGGAATGTCAAAAAGTTTCTCGAAGCTAAAATAATTCGACCTTTGGAATCTGCCAAATGTATCCACATGATTCTCGGAATGTACCTAAGAAATCCTATAAGAATGGAGTCCAAGTGTACCTCAAAATGTACATGTTGCTTCCTCAACATGTAGTTCAACAAGTCCAAAACGAGTCTGCGGAGGAAGTCGTCAACTCACGAGCTCGAAGCATCCGCAGCTCGGCATCAATTTCATCGATTGCATCGTTTATGGAACATGCTTGCCATGCACAATTTACAACAATTGAACGAGGCAAAATTTGATGCCTAGCTTAGCTTGTTCAATTTGAGTCTCTCAAGTTTAATTTGCTTCATGCTGGGAACTGAAACAAACATGATATGCCTGGCTATGCGGCTAAAGCAAGGTACTTGAGGACACTTCAGCCAGTGATACTTTTTGTTGTTTTGTTGCATATACCTCCAGTTTTGTTGCTAAGCTTTTAAGATGTGATAAGAAAGTTGAGGCATGGACAACACAGACAACACATTTACAGAAATTCGACCAAGGAAGTCTTGGAGGAAAGTTCTCCGGACGTTGAGTGGAACCTCGACCGTGGCTGCCCGAGTTGACACAAATGACAAATACGGAGAACATTTGATATTTTTTTTTCAAATGGAAACATAATAAACATATCTACTTTTTGCATTTTTAAATCACTAATTTGAGAAGTCCGAACAGTTCTGGGAATTGTCATGGTCCGACAAGTGTCTTTTCGTCTTTTCACATTGACAAAATCATGAGAAAGTCTTCATGAGAAAATCAGATCGCTGATCTGCTTCACAGCCCTTCACAGCATGCTGTCTGCTGTCTGCTGTCTGCTGTCTGCTGTCACAGGTTGTAAAGCCACTGAAGCCTACAGCAATGCCAAGCTCGCCGTGCTGCTCCCAGCGACGTGCCGTGCTCACATTGAGCGGATTTTCACCGTGACAGCGTCTCAATGTGATCTCAGGTCATCGCATTCTCCAGGGCTTTGGAGTCCAGGAGGACCGTCAACGAAGAAAAACCAACAAAGGTGTCAATCAACGGTGAAAAAATGACAACGGAGTGACAACGAAGAAAAGATGTCTGAAAAAAACGATGTTTCAAAAGATGGAAGAAGTGGAAGGAAAGATGTTGGACAAGGAAAGAGATTGGAGAATTTGAACATCTTGAACCTTTTTGTGAGCACAGACATTTCTCATATTTAAGTGACTTCGAGACTTAGAGTAACAAAAGTACAAGGAATATAAAGATCAAGAAACGTAACAAGACCATGGACAGATCATGCAAGATCATGGAAGACATCTAGAGACCTAAAGAAAAACATCGATATCTGCAGGAAGAAAAGACAATCGGTGACACTGCTAAAGCATTCTCAAGCGGACCAAACGGAGAAACGTGCAATCTTCGGTTCCAGCCATGGGATACGAAGAATTTGAGCTTTTCCCTAGTTTCGGTCAGCCTCTCCTCAACTTCCAGAGAAACCACAGCGCACTCTCAGAGGTTCACGAGCAATCGCTCTACATGTTGATGAAAAATTCAAGAGGACAATGTGTGAAGACACAATCCAAGCCTTGAATCTAAGATAGTCTAAACATATCTAAGCGATCTAAGCAGGTCTAAGGAATCACAAGTTAAAGCGTGCCAGATTCTTCCTATTTCTTCCTAGCAAAAGTGCTGGTGATCTCTGTAGATTCGGCACATGTCTTCGGGGCTGCTTGCGTTGTGCGGTTTAATCCTGATGTAGCTTTATTATGCTTTATTCTGAACGTCATAACTGTCATAACGTCATAAATTGTACGCAGCTGTGTATCTCTTTGTCTTTGTATCTCTCAAGGTGTACCATCGTGTGCACTTCGTACCATATCGTACCTCGCAATTTAAGTCTTCAACGGCCCTCACTTTGTGCAGGAGCTCTCATGAGGGAGTTGCCTCGCACGCGATCAACCCGAACGTTGAAGACCTCAGCTGCAGAGTGTAAAGTCCTTTATATAACTATATATATATAACTTAATTCTTTATATTTCTTCAGTGTTGAAATATGTTGAAACGGTTTCAATGTCGGTCAACGCCGCTTTCGCTTTCATGATCTTGTTCATGGTTTCATTCTGCCATCTCTGAGTTCAACACGTCAATACAGTATTGAACTGGCAGACAAAGAAACTTCACTGAACTTCAAACCAATTTCATAGCTCACAGATAAGTGAGCAGATGCCATGCTACTGCTTTATTCATGAGGTGTCGGTGCGCCGTAAGAATCCTTCTAGATGTTTCTAGTAGTTCAATTTTTCGCGGTCGTACTTCTGGCTCAGAACATCAAGATATCAGAAGTTTATGATCTGAGGACGATGTGTGACTTCGCAAATGGAAAGGGATCTTGCAACCATAAGTGGGCAGGTTTCTTCTAGGATGGAATGTGGCTGATTGATGAGATCAGCGCCAAGGATCAGTAATGATTCTGCAGCCAATACATAATAAGACAATAGATCTATCAATAGACAATAGATGACCATAGATGACCATAGATGACCATAGTCCTTATTTCAAAAGATTGCCAGACAGATTTTGCTCAGTGATGTGATGAGGCGATGCTGACAGACTTCAAGCAGCTGGCTGGAGACTCTTGGCAGAACGAAGAAAACAAGGTGAAATGAAAAAAACATGGAAACAACAGGAATGAAAAAAATGAAACACCATGAAAAACATGGAAACACATGAGACATCGTGAACGAATTTAGAAGAACGGACTGCAGAAGTTTGACCCGAAAGTCAAGCATCAAATGAACGTTGTTGCGGCACATTGCAGCTTGAGAATCCGGGGAGCCCTCCACGGCTCTCCGCGTTCTGCCACGTTTGGACATGTTTGAATACTTTGGACCTGCTTCCACTAGATCCAGATCTAGATCCGCAGAAATTTCAACCTGAAGTGTTTGGATGTGTTTTGGACTAGCGGTCCTAGCACACGCACACATCCATAATATGCGGGGAGAAACGAGACATGAATGTTCAAATGTTGCAAATGTGCACGAGGTTGATCTCTGAAACCAAAACGTAGGAATGATTCGGAAATGATCCAGGCTTCAAAAACAATGGTCCTGAGGAACGATCCTCTTCCTTGTCGTACTTTCCCCCTGTTTGGATCGCAGGCCGGGGGAATCAACGCCATGCCAAGAACAACATACCGAAATGACGAGCATAACACACACGCACAGACACAGGCAATCATAGGCAATCATAGGCAATTATAGGCAAAAACATGGCAAAGCAGTGTATAGTTCTTGCTCTATGTGCGAATGTTGGTGACATGAAGCTCTTGATCCTTTCATTTCTGTGGCGTATTCCTCATTTGTTCCTTTTTTTCCAGCCATTTGACCTGCTACTGTTAAAAGATGTTAAAAGATCAAGGAATTTCTGGCTGAAGGCAAAGTCTTCGGCTTCATTGGTGAAAGACTGCGACAGGCTCGTCACCGCATCAGCTCGGGGGTCAAGAACAGTTTCACTATCAACAAGTTTGTGACCTCGATGTGCGTGTTTTTCTCCATTGGAGAAACGATAGAACACTTACATTTCATGCTTTGTTTGAACATGCGTTTTGAATAATTTCTGCAATTTTGGGTGATGACAAAGTGCTTTTTCAGCTTTTTCTGCTTTGGCTGCGACTTGTTGCAGATGACAATGCGTTCAGTTGAGCATGGAGCCAAAGGTGCTGTGCTGAGATGAGCTGAGATGAGGGAATGTAGCAACACAAAGGCGACGCAAAAGATTCACGAATTGCAACGGAAACATACATGTTGCAAAGGCAAAACAAAGGCAAACAAAGGCAACTGATTTGAGACAAGAAATGTGCAACGTACCCATTGCATCTGATGTGACTCATGTTATGGTTCAGGGATTTTGTTGAAACATTGCGCGGCCAAGGAGTGCTCCATGTTGCTAGCTCCAAAGCTTTAGAGAAAAGTGGTGGTGGTTTGTATGATGACACTGCTCGGGCCTTGGCTAACGTCCATCCTGTCCCAGCTTTGTAGCCTTGTCCCTTGCAGTGTCCGGAAATACTGCAGTGTGGGCAGTGTAGGCAGTTGAAACATGTCGAAACGCTTTTAGCTTCTCGCTAGCTTCTCGGTGTCCAGGAGACTTCGTTTACAAGATGCGGAAGATCTCCTGCCACAAGCATAGAACTGGGACGCTGAGACACTGAGACACGCACACAGCGCACACACATTTTACACATTTTGTTTTCAAGTTTTGCTGCGCTAGAGTGGCTCTCTCAAGTTGAGTTGTTTAATATCATTTAACCACTTTTAGATTGAAATGATAGGATTCTGATCATTCTGTCTGACATCAGTGTTGATTTGCCTTGATTTGCCTTGATTTTCCGAACGGTTGGAGATTGATCAAGAAAGCTTCCGCACTCCCAATTTGACATTGAAATATGTCAGCAAGAACTTCCCGTGGCAATGCGGAATCCGACAGAGCAGCATTCTGTCAGAATGGAGCTATGCTAGTCCTGTACATTGTTAGACATTGTTAAACATCGTTAGTTCTGTCAGTTCAATTTATGATTCGAGACTTGGCACGGACAAAGTCTAAAGTCTAAAGAGTCTAAAGAGTCTAAAGAGTCTAAAGAGTCTAAAGAGTCTAAAGAGTCTAAAGAGTCTAAAGAGTCTAAAGAGTCTAAAGAGTCTAAAGTCCTCCGTGCATCTCCGTGCAGCACTTCATCACTGCACGGAGGCGGTTCGGTTGTTCGGTTGCCTTCCCAGTCCGAGGCGTTCTGTGGCCGGGTTCCTGAGACGTGGCTTCCTCCGGTCCGTCCCTGAGATGGCCAGAAATGGTAGATTCCCAAGAACATCTACTACTGTGTGACAGCAGGAGCTCTGACAAACGGAAAAATGGCACCTATGCAAATGCTCGCATGCACTTCACGCTTTTTCGTAGCGATGTGCCCCCTGAGCCGTATGGCTTCTGTGCAACACCTGATTAGTGCAAAAGGGATGACATGAGGTCAAAGGTGGAATGTTCATGATGACACTGCACAGCTTGATTCACAGATTCCTCACAATTCTTGTTGACCTCATTGTCACATAGGCTATACCTACCTGTGTCCAAAAGCTGTAAAAGCGGGACACGGTTTCCTGCTCGTTTTGTTAAGCAGTCCATAAACATCTTTGGGTGTGGTACCCAACGAATGGAAGATCCCGTCTCCTGCATGGTCTGACGGATGACCTGCATTTCAATGGCAGTTCGCTTATCGTCTGTACAACCTACCGTTTCTTTCACCAAATGGTCGAAAAGTGACTTCGCATCTACGACACATAAACTCCGTTTTAGAGTTTCATCCATGTCATTCTTGGTCAGTGTGACTACGCGCTGGTCTCTCAGAGATTGTTGCCATTCGCGAAGATCAAATCCTTCGGTGACCATGTCCTTATACACCGTGATCGTCCAAGCAAGCTCGCTCAGCCCTTTTGACAAACTTTGAGATTCTGCAGCCAATGTCGAATTCACGATCCTATGCGTCTTCCCTGAACGCCAGTGCAAAAGATTCATCTTTCCGCTTCCTTCTGAAAGAATGGCTTCATCAGCGCAGATCACTCCATATGCTCCTTGTGATGAATTTTCCTGTGCATTGGCATATGATGCATCTGTCACAACACCCCAGATCATTCTGCTTGACGGAATTGGTTGGATCTGGAGACAAAGTCCTGCAGTCTTCTTTGCTTCTCGAACGGCCTTGTTGAGGTCCAGGACATCTTGCACCTTCATTCTGTTTAATGTTCCTGCTATGATGCTTGCTGCTGCTGCACAGTCTGGTCTGCCCTCCTTTGCTGCCCAAGTGAGGGCACCGATGACTGCCCGTGCCTCTTTCCGCTCTTCTTCGTTTGCATCCTCTTCTCTTTTGCTTGCTCTTCCTACCTGCAAGGGCACCTCTCTGAGCCTCTCTTGAATAAACTTTTGCATATCTATCAGATATGTGCCATCCTCTTTCATCCTCAACCTTCTTCCATTGAAAGATACGCCCTGCTTTTCCTCATGCAGAAACTTGAACTTCCCAAATTTGAAA